CTGGCGGGGCCGGTAGCGGTGGTGCTGGGCGCTGCGAGGCGGTTCCTCCCCACCGGGGCGCCCTCCGTGCTGCTGCGAGGCTGCAGGACCCATCGCCAGGGCCCGTCGTTTCTGTTGTGTCACCGGGTGGTCCATCCCCTGCTTTAACAACCGTTTTTCCACTCTTCACCCTTGCTTGCCTTCACGGATCTCGGGAAGTGATGTGATCATAAAAATGTGACCTTTCAGAAAGGCAGCAGAAACGTTTGTACTGAAAGCTTTCAGACGAGGCCGCTCAGCCTTACAGGTGAAGCGACCCAGATCTTCATGACCTGAGCTTTGTAGTCCAGTCCACTACGTGGTGGTCCATTAAGACCGAATCTGAAGGATGAAAAACTAGAGTAATAGCCTAGAGGTTGAGCATTTGCTGCCACTGGTGATGTGGCTGAGTTCAGCTGACAATGATTTTATCTGTAAGAGTTGTTGCAGTAGGAGGGGGATGTGTGCAGAGACTTAAGAAGTATGTGCAATTTAAATTACACAGGGATAGTATGTAAGGTATGAAGGGTAGAGAGGAAGGAGCAGGATCATCAAGACTGTCAAATGGAGGAGGTGCTGGCTTTCTGGATGATTTTTGGTAGATGCAGTTAGTAAATGTCCTTGTAAAGATACCTACACCATGAGATAGTTAAGCAAAAGTTATTAATGTAAAAATTAAGCTAGAAACTGTTAGCAATACAAAGACCATATTTAACTGAAACCAAATCTCTTTCTTATAGATTTTCTCCCGTTTGTATGTGATGGCTGTTCTGGTGTCTTCTGGTAAGTTCCTAAGATCATGGAGTAGTTCAAGTTGGAAGGGACCCATAAGGAACATCAAGTCCAACTCCCTGCTCCTCGCAGGACTACCTAAATCAACTATATGACTAAAAGAGTCATCTGGACGCTCCTTGAACTCTGGCAGGCTTGACGCCATAACCACTTCCCCAGGGAGTGTGTGCCAGTGACTGACCACCCTCTTGGTGAAGAATATTTTTCTAATGCCCAGTCTGAACTGCCCTGACACAGTTTCATTCCATTTCCTTGTGTCCTGTTGCTGGTCAACAGAGAGAGGAGATCAGCACCTCCCCTTCCACTTCACCCCCATGAGGAGGTTTTAGATTGCGATGAGGTTACCCCTCAGCCTTCTCTTTTCCAAGCTGAACAAACCAAGTGACCTCAACCACTCCTCGTTAAGTCTTGCCCTTGAGGCCTTTCACTATCTTGGTCACCCTCCCTGGGACACTGTAATACTTTGATGTCCTTACATTGAGACACCCAAAACTGCACACAGTACTCAAGGTGGGGATACACTGCCAGTGCAGTGCAGGGGGACAATCACCTTTCTTGACCTGTGTCTGCCTGATGCCCCCCAGGACACAGTTGACCCTTTTGGCTCGCAGGGCACACTGTTGACTCATATTCAACTTGTCATCAACCGAAACCCCTAGATCTCTTTCTGTGGGTTTGCTCTCCAGCTTCTTGTCTCCCAGTTTGTATGTATAACCAGGATTAGCCCATCCCAGGTGTAGAATCCTGCATTTGCTCTTGTTAAATTTCATATGATTGGTGACTGACCAGCTCTCTAGTCTATCCAGATCTCTTGGTAAGGCCTTTCTGCCTGTGAGGGAGTCCACAGCTCCTCCTAGTGTAGTATTGTTGGCAAACTTACTTCATGTACTCGATTCTTGTGTCCAGATCATTTATAAAAACATTAAAGAGCACTGGCCCAAAAATTGAGCTCCAGGGAACCCCACTGGTGACTGGCCACCAGCCTGAGGTAACACCATTTACTATAACTCTTGGAGCCCAACCCCTCAGCCAGTTTCTCACCCATTGTATTACCGGCCTGTCTAGCTGTGTGCTGGACATTTTGTCTAGAAGGATACTGTAAGAGACGGTATAAAAAGATTTTCTAAAATCAAAAATCAGCACATTTACTGGCTTCCCTATGTCAGCTAGATGGGTGACCCTTCAATAAAGGAAATTAACTTGGTTTTCCTATAAGATCTCTTGTGTGGCAGTTGTGTAGACCTAAATTAATATAGCATGTGATTCAGTTCAGATACATTTAGTTACAAACCAATTGTTTCATTGAATTTGCCACATTTCTCCTGAGTGGCTGTTGTGGTTTGAAATCAGTGGGAATATCTCTAGAATACAGTTAGATTGTATTGGAAAGCATCTAGTTTAGACCCTGTTTTGTACTGGTTCGGGTTTTTTTTTAAAAGAAATTGAAGTTTTTTCCAGGGTTCAAATCAGGGCCTGCACTTCGATTTACATCTCAAATTAGCAGAGGCAACCGAGATAAGCTCAGATAAACTGAGGGCAGATTTCACTTTAACATGTTAGAAGCTTTTAAGGGATTTCTGCTCTTGTGGAAAGTGATTCAAAATCCATCAAAACAGACAACCTCCAGTTGTTTTGATCTGAATTCTTAAGCATGCTAATATTCTTATTCTCTTGAAATGGTTTATTATCTTGGGGCATAAATTCCATGAGCTAAATGTTTTACATACTTGTGAAAAATATGATCAATCCATTTGAGATGTGAAATGCATAGGTCAGAATGAATTTTGGAGATTCATTAATTAATTGCAGTGTTCCCATGATAAAATTTGTCAGACCACTCTTTAACCACTTAAATGTTTTCACATGTGGTTTTCTTTTTCTGGAATGTTGATAACGATGTGATATTTTCTTTTGTCACAAAGCCTTCAGCACAGGAGCCGGGATGCTCATGGATGTTCTGAGGTAATCTAATAATATATAACTACCTTAAAATTAAAATTCTGTGCAACTTAACTGTTTATTTTCAGATTAGATATGTAGACATAGTATGTAAGCATGAATTATTTAACTGAGAATGTTACAATCTTAAAGAAGTGAAACTACTCTTCTTCTGCTTGTCAAGTAAATTGAGTTTGAGTAGGATGATGGTTCTTTTTCTAACTCTGAGCTAAACTTAACCAGGACAAAAGTAGGAGAGAATCACTGGACTAGTTTTGCCCATAGGAGGGAGAGTTCACACAGTTCTTTTGGAAAGCTCTGGTGATGACTTGTATTTGTGTTATCTGTTTCTTTACACAAAATATTTTGTGCTAATGCCTAGGTGAATACCAGAAACAATTCTGTGAAACCAGATCAGCACAGATCTTATTCATGCTCATACAAGGACTGCAACAGAAAGGAGCTTTTGCCAGTTTTATGTCCATACTGTGAAAAACATTTTTGTCTAAGGTGAGTGGAACAGAGTGTTTAAACATCAATACTCATTCATTCGTGTATGGAAAAGGTAGTAAAAGTTTTACGCTGTTGTTTACAGACACCGGCATCAGTCAGACCATGAATGTGAGAAACTGGACACACCAAAACCTCGAATGGCTGCCACCCAGCAGCTAGTTAAAAATATAATAGGCAAGTACAGTGGGATATATATTATACAATCTTCTTCATAAGGCTGTTTGAGCTTGTGACCTCCTCTGAGGGTTCAGGTTTGGCCAAGTAAGAAGAAAGGATGAGGCTTCTTTGTTTAAATAGCCCTAAACTCACATGTCAGCAGGTCATACTGTTCATCTAGACTGAGACAAGACAACGGTAGCATATAAAGAGAATCTTTAAAGTTTAAACAGGGCTCAGGTTTCTTTCAGAATTATTGTCTTTTTCTCATTCTACAAGTCATGTAATTAATTGTACCTAGCCATTATTATTTGCATATTAATTCATGTGCGAATAATGCAGTTGTATTGGGTACACGTGTCAAGCTGCTGGGATTATACCTACACAACCAAGATGGCAAAAAATTGTGAGTCTACAATGTAATGTTTGCAGCTTTTAAACAAGCTCTATGACAGGAAAGAGTATAAACAGCACTGCCTAACTGGACAATGTGGTTATTTGTAGAAAGGAGGACTTGAAAGTGTTGCAATATGAACACTGATAGCTATGGGTGTAGAAATTTAGGAATTCATATCTGTTTGTCTTGTGCAACCTGGGTTTACCTCATGATAGTGTTCAACTGCTTTTTAGTATGAAGAGGTTCTGCTAGAATTGTAACAATTCCAGATATTCTTGGAGGATCTGATATCATGGCCTCAAAAGGACATGAAAGGGATGGGAACCTTGGAGATACGATGAGGCCCAATAGGCTCATTCCAGGATACGTTCAAGAGACAGTCTGAATCATCACACTAACAGGAATAATATTGTTCTCAGATTCTAAAAAAAATGAGGAAGCAAAAAGCAAAAAACGTAAAGGAGCGAAAAACAGTGAGACAGCAGCAAAAGTGGCATTAATGAAACTGAAAATGCATGCGTGTGGTGACAACTCCTTACCTCAGGTCAGTCATGTTTGTTCTCAGTAATTCAATTCTCAAAGGAAATGGGAAGTTTTCTAAATTTCTTGTTCTCCATCTAATTCCCTCAGTTTGGTTTTGGATTTAATTCTTCAAGACCACAAGTGTTTATACATCCGTTTCAGCCTGGCACTCAAAAAAACCTCACTAGTCTTATGTCTGTTATAAGGTGTCTTGTGTAGAGTTGGGAGAGGTCAGGCCAAATTCCTTTATTTTATAGCAGAAAAGTATTTGCCTGCCATATGGCTGTCACCAAGCACTGCGGGGACAGGCAGGTTCTTCTGGGGATCCTTGGCAGAATGATGACGGCATTAAGTTGTAGTTACAATTAAAGATTTATTATTTTAACAGACTTTGATGATCAGCATAGCATAGACATAAATGATCAGAGTAGAACAGGATTTTTATAATTAGGATCAGCGTAGCACAATTTTCTGACAAGTAAAGTGACATATTTTAACCATCAAAAGATAGTTAATCAGAACAATGTCATCTTGAGAAAAACGATGGGCTGACACTGGGGGTTTTAGGCATTTTATGGGTTGGAGAGATGGAAAATGAGCTTGCTCCACTGGGCATCTGGCAGGTGACTGCCAGTTACTTAATCATCAGACAACTTTAGGTAGGGCTTTACCCCCTTTTCCTGTATAAACTTTGCTCTAGAGCTCATTTTAGTAGACCATTCCACTTCTCGATTGTGCCATTACTTCGGGGTCTGTAGGACCGGTAGAACACCCAGGCAGCTCCTTGAGGTTCACACCTTTCCTTTTTTTTAAATGAGTGCCATTGTCAGACTGCACAGCAGAGGACATGGGAGTGTCAGCAACCCATTGATTAAATCCTGCCACAGGAGTAAGACTGTCAGTTTACTGGCAAGCAAAAACTTTCCCTAAGCCTGATATTATTTCAACTCCAGTAAGGCTGTAACACCACCCCCAAGGTGTTTGAGGAGAGGTCCAAGATAACCAATTTGCCAAGTGGACCAGGGGACTTATTTCCCACCCCCTATCTATTTGGTCCCCAAAAAGGTGACCTCCTGGCTGGGGGCCCTCACATTGTTTCTTCATCAGTTGTTTCAGTAGCCGGGTTAGTGTTGCCCATGTCCAGCTCACAGAATATCTGTGCTGAATATATTTAAGTTTCCTTGTCACATTTGCTATTTTTGGGTGGTGGGGGGAAGGCAAAAGAGAAGTTCCAATTTTACCTTAACAATTCAATGAAGAACCACTGCTCCATTTACTCTGGTTACTGATATTTTCTGATGTTTCAGAGGAATAGCTCCAGGACATAATTCTGCTTTAATCATGAATTGTTGTGCTCTACTATCTACGAGGAAAGCAGTCTTTCATTTATCATTTACTATGGCCCAAAGGGTTGGACTCAGTCTTCAAGATAAGGCCACTTGTACCTCTGCCAGTCCAAGCCCCTTGTCTAGCTTCCCTGATACTACGCTCTGATAAGAGATAAGTTAGGATAGTTTTGTGGTTTAGAAGGGTTTCCATTTACGGGAGGGGGACTGGGTAGAGATGTGGATAGCTTTCCCTCCTTTTCCTCTTCCTTTGCTAGCAATTGTAGTTTTTTGGTAGAAAAATCATAGAGCGAGTCACCAGTGTACCCCTGATTTATGCAGGCACACCACCACTTGTTTTGCTTGGATCGCACACTGTTTGATTAGGAAGTCTCCTGATGATATATGTTATTTATTTAAATTGGCTTGATGGCCGTTGTCGCGGTAGAGATGGACACGACAACTTTTTTGCAGCAGAATAGCCATCTTTATTGTTCCCCCATCTCTTATATACTTTATTCTTTTATCCATACATCATTCTTATTGGTTACATGGCTGTTTGTCTACTACTTTATTGGCTACTTTTCTTAAAATCCCCCACTGTTCGGGTAGCTGACAAACACAGTATTCTTCTTCTTTCTTATCTCCAGTTCCTTTCTCAGGCTGACACGGCACTCCTCCAGGACTTTTCTAGATGCTCAGAGGTACATAACAAGCTGGTCAAGGTCAAACTGTTCTCTCTGTCAGGCATTCGGCAGGCCCGCTGCCTCCCCCAACAGACCGTGGGGGGCACTTGTTCGACCTCCAAGTGGTACCAAGGGAGTTAGGACCTGGTGCTGCTCCCTTCATATGGGAGGGTCAAGGCTTAGTGCTTGCATTTTCGAAACACTTGTGAAAAGGGGATTTCTGCAGGTAACTGTTTAACTACTGACTGCCCATGTCATTATTGGTACATTGCCTGAATTTTCACAAATAATCCACATTAAAATCTCAAACATTAGTAGTGTCCCTTCTGTGCAGATTGTTCCCCTGTAGGGGAACATTTCTACTTTAGTCAGGGGTTGTATTGGTACAGAATCAATTATTTCCTCATCAGATTCATCTGGGCTGTCCCAAATGTCTCCATCCCAGTCTATCATACATAGCTACACGACCTTATGGAGTCTATAACTACCTTATAAGTTTTTTACTAGGTTTTCTTACTTTTCCTGTAACTTGTGGCACTTACTGGTTTTCAAAATACATTCTTTTTTCCAGATTTGCTATCAGCCTTTAATTTGGTTATACTTAATTCTAAATCCTTCCCTGACAGTTCACTTTTCAACTTTATAATTTCCTCTTCTAACCTTTCAACCTGTTCATTCTCGATTTTCCATACTGCAACTAATGCCCAGCACATTCATTCATTCTGTCTGTCCTTCTTCACTTTACACATATCCTTCCATTTATAAACTCAATCCATACAGCATATGGATCATGACTTATTGCCTCTAGCCGCTTCTTGTCCCACTTGGGATCTTACCATCCATTTTCTATAAACCCCCTGCTCCAGGAGGTCCATTTATCAGGGAAATCAGTCATCATTCTGACCCAAGGATCCTGCTGACTATGCCAGTCTATTCTGTCACCCAACACTATGGGGACGGCAGGTTCTTTTGGGGATTCTTGGCAGAATGATGACGGCATTAAGTTGTAGTTACAATTAAAGATTTATTATTTTAACAGACTTCGATGATCAGCATAGCATAGACATTTATGATCAGAGTAGAACAGGATTTTTATAATTAGGACCGGTGTAGCACAATTTTCTGACTAGTGTAGCAGAGAATTGTAGAGCACAGCTTAGCTTATGGCTTTGAATTACCTGAACCCCCTGCAGATCAGGTCAAGTCTTCATACTTGGCTTGCAGTATCAAGATCACAGTCATCATCTGTACTTGAAACACGTAAAAGAATATGAGTCACACAGTCCTCAGAGGAAGAAGATGTCAGTGGAGGTGTCCCTGGCCACTGGGGGATCACGGGTTTTGCAGTCCAACAGCAGTTTTGGTCGAAGTCCCGCTTAGGGCTTGTAAGTGCTTGATTTTATGGCCAGGGCTCTGTGTGCTGCTGCTGTGCTTCCCTGCTCTGTGACAGCGCCATCACCACCAGGTTGGCCGGGTGCCTGGGACCCTCAAAGCCAGTAAGGAGCAGAGTAGTTGGCCTGGCAGCCAGGGACCTTGGGGCTGATAGGGAGGGGGAGAAGTCTGCCTAGTGTGCAGGACCTTCAGGGCCATCAGGAGGAGAGGAGAGGGGATTGATCTGTGACCAGCTCCGTCGCACAGAATGTCTGTTTGCCTTATAAAACGTGATTAGTTCTGCTAACTTTATTATCAGGAGTCAGGAGCAGGTGGTACTGGTCAAACATGGGAAACTCATCTCAAAGGGATGCTTTTCATGCTCAGTACTGAGAGGCTTCTGACACAGGCAGGACAGTTTGCACAACTCTGTACCAGTCAGATTGAACCTGTCTCTCATGATACTGAGCTTTATGCTCTACAAAACTCCATTCTTATTTCTACTAATGAGATTTAATAGACATTTATTACATTTCTGCACAAGGTATGAAGGACTTCAGGTCAGTTCCTGCTTTTGGGTTGGAAAGGGGTTTTGACAGTTGCTTTATGTTTCTTTCATCCTTTCTTTGGTTCTGGAAGTATTTCACAGATTTCTAATTGTTTTTCACTACCATGGCAAGTCAAACTTGGTGTTCAAGCCTTTTTCATATATTAAGATTATGTTGGGTTTGGAAACAACTTGATTCTTTCAACCAGGGTTTCGCTTTAGATCTGTACTTAAGCACCCTCCTAAAAGAACTGTATTTAAATTACTTTTTACCACATTGTTATGTCAGGGTATGCCAAGTTTAGGCCTGTTATATTGATAATACTGAGAACATTCTATGTGATAGTGCTATTGTTAGGCCTTATCTTAGTAAAGTACATTTGATTATTGTTTTTAAAAAAACTACAGCTATTCCATTACTCAGTCTTTCTATTAATTTATTTTTCTATACTGTGTCATGCTTAGAAATTAGATAACTCTGCTTAGTCAGAAGTCATAATACAAAGACCTGCTTGTAGCATTCTTCACAGATAGTACCATGTTAATAAATATGTGCTGGAGGAAAAGTGACTAATTTCAAATATTGTGGAACACAGTTTAAAAAATCCACCCTTGATATATATAAGAAAATTTTAAAAGTTGCTTCCTAATTCCAAAGCCAGTAATCTCTAAAATTACTGTATGCTAATTTCTCTTACTATTCATTTTCTCATTTGAATATTAATTAAGTCATCTAGATGAGTGATAGTTCTAACGTGATGAATTAAGCCTGTTAACTTTCAGCACCTCTATTTAAATTGCTTCCTGGACTCCTAGCCTCCTTCTGCCCAGCTTTTTCAGTTTGATGACAGATTTTTTGAATATGAAGATTCTGGGATGCATCTTTGGCACTTTAGTTCTGTCATCACTATATAGAGAAGATTGACACATATTTCTTGGATGTGCACAGCAAAAGGACAGGGAGAAATGGGCACAAGCTGCGAGATATAAAATTCCAATTAGATAACAGGAAGAAAAAAACATAGTGAGGATGGTCAGACTTTGGAACAAGCTGCTCTGAAAATTTTGTGGAATCTACATCTTTGGGATATTCAGAACTTGACTGAATGTGACTTGGAGCAACCTGATCTATCTTTATAGTTATGTCCAGCTTTAAAGTTCCCTCTGCTTTTGAGCATGGTTTTGGACCATGTGACACCGGAGGTCCTTCCTGGCCTTTATTATTCTATGATCAGAAAAATCAGGCTATCTTAGAAATATTTCTTCTCTGTCCTCTTTATTGAGATTAGCTTTTGGTAGATGATTGCTTCTTTTGATGCCAGACCTTGATAGGAGTTACCCCTCTGGAGACCGACCAGCTCAAAACAGGAGGGCCATGCTGTAGAGTAGTGTTAGTTACTGTGTCACTGACTGATGGTTGTTTTGGATATGGCACAAATTCCAGGAGGTGTATCCCATAGTTAGGAATGTCACAGTAGAATTAACTGCTTTGTGAATTAAGTTGCAATGAACTGTGGGAGGCTCTCTCATCATCCTTAGAACTGGAGGAGCAACTGTAGGAAGTTGCCAGGGCTCTGATTGCAGTTGAGTGATGTTAGCATGTGTCCATAATAAGATGGCTGTTGTGTTTGTTGTTTTACAAGTTGTGGGCATTTACATTTTAGCAAGATTCAGGTCCAGCTTCCCTTGCTCTTTTGTAATATTCCTGGATGTTCAAGAGTTTTTTGTGTGTGTGTGTGAAGAGCACTAAAGTTTTGAGGAGAATACACAGGTTGAAATTCAGACTCAATTTTACAAACATAGCTGGGGGTAGAGTAGTTCCATATTTTTGTAGGGAAGGCATAAATAAATCCTTTAAAAAGAAGACTTCTGTCTTGTTTGATAGTGTCTGGCTTGGACTCAGCAAGGGCGATCTGAACTGATGAATATACCAGTCACACTTGCTCTGTGTCTTCTGTTGAATATCAAGAAGAAATAAAGCTGAAAAAAGGACTGTCCCAATCCTGTTCAAAATCTCTCCCTCATAGGTCATTCTTGAAATTTCTTAAACAGGTGTTTCAGTTTAGTAGATACTGGAAGAGCATTTAGTACATAGGAGGAAAAGCAGGATAAAGTATTAGCTGGCCATGACTGGAAATGAAGCAGGCATTTCTAGTATGGTGAATTGTTCTGTTTTAACCACCTCTGCATTCCAATTTGAGACATTACACTGCTGCCAAAAGCCAACACTGCTTATTTAAACTCACCTTTTTCTCCCCAGAGCAGTCATTATTGTCTAGTAAACTCAGGGCAGACACCTTTTCATGTCTGTCTATATATAACAGTCTAGCTGTGGGACTCTGGTGAAACCTTTCTGAACTTACTCTCCATCATCTATGTGCTTGCAGCTGGAGGGGATATGACTCAATCTCAGTCATTTATATTCTGCAGTAAAATGGGGCCTTGGTCCTGATGGAATAGAACAAGTTTCAGTTGGCAATTTTGGGGTTGAAGTCTTTTACTAAAAAACTCTTAGATGTGTATGACTAGCATTATGTGCTGTTTCTGTGAATAATTTTTGTTTATTTTTTATGTTTTTCTAGACAGAAAGAATTTATTTTCAAGTATTTCTACCAAAGGGGAACAAAGAGAAAAGCAAGCCCATGTTCTTCTGCAGTAAGTGGAGTATTGGCAAAGTAGTAGATTTTGCAGCTTCCTTAGCAAGCCTTAAAAATGACAACAACAAATCAACATCCCAGGTGAATCAGTAATAATAGCAAACATTTTCCACCTTGTTGGGTTTTGATTTTGTTTGTTGTTTTTTTTTTTCTCTTTTGTCCCTCCCCCACCCCACTTCTTGCATCTCAGATAGGCAAATCTTGATGTTAATTTCTGTGCTGTTTGTCTTACAGAAGTTGAGATTATGCCATACTGCCTCTGGAGAAGCCTTGCCATTTGAGCACACATTGGAAACATGGCTATCTGATAAAGACTATCCATTGTACAATGGTGGAAATATAATTTTGGAGTATCTTGATAATGATGTTCTATTTATAGAAGATACAGAGTCATACTTTAGTTAATAAATTATCACACAAAAAAAAAGAGATAAAGACAATAAAGAGAACTTGAAATTATTCTTTTCTACTTCTTGTGTAAAAGAGGAAGAAGTATGGTAAGATAAAGACATACAGTTCAGTTAGAAACAGCATTCAGCAGCCTGTTGTTTCATTCTGACATTTCTGACCTTAGGTAAATCTCTATGTTTCCTCTTCAGCAGTCTGCAGGATGGATTTACTAAGTTTTAACACAGTTGTTTACAGTGATTCTACATAAAGTTACACCTCTGGGTGCATAAGTATGACCTGTGGAATTAATGGATTTCTCAATTTTCAGTGTCTTGAAATTATTTGGTGCTCATTGAGAATATTGTTTAGAATATCAGTAGTTTATGTACTCTAGTTTTTGGGTATCTTTTGGTGGATTTCAAAGCTGGGTTGTAATTTTAAAGTGAACATAACAAGAAGGAACTATGGGATTGTTTTTATGCCAGTTATAGCTGGTTTGCATTACTGAAACATAAAAGCATGTAATGTTACACACAAATATTAGGGGCAGCACTTTCCTAACCAGAAGTTCTTATGTATAACCAATGAGCCCTCATTCATCCTTCTTGAACAGGCCTGTTACAACCTAAACTCGTTCTGCACTAGCCTGTCTCTGTTTAAGCTATAGGAGTAGAACCCTTTCAAGACTAATCCCTCCAATTTGCTTTCATCTGTTTACAGTTATTCCACAACTGTTCTCCAGCGGGGAGGAGCTGGAAAGACAGTCCCACAAGGGCAGAAAGGACAATGTATGAATGAGTGTAAACAGAGCAGTGGAAAGCACAAGCCTAAGCCTTTCCATTTGCAAAGCTGTGGTGTGTTTCTGCCACTCCATCATGCACAGTGTGAACTAACTACTTAGGAACACCTATTAATAGAATCCTAAATAGGCTAGCAAGATTTTCAGCAGCAATCAGCTGCAGCATGTAACATGTGATCCATTGCTACAAAAGGACCTAGTGGTTCATGATCAGGGTGCAGTATTCCAACAGAGGGGTAGAAATCTCCATCTCCCACAGCCTGACCCACTGCTAGATCACTGACTCACCTTTCAACAAGTCTGAAAAGGAAAGAGCTACCTTTCTTTTTTTGACATGGGGCACCTTCTTCCAGGCAATTATCTTCATGTAATGTTCTCAGGTTCACAAGGATGTTCCAGCTTGTACACGCACTGTGACTGAACATGCTCAGTAATGCCTGGAAGTGAAACTGGGCCACAGTGAGACTGAATGTCTAGACTATTCAAAAATATCAACATGATGCATTTCAGGGACACTGTTCTGCCATAGCAGGACTGTTTTGCCAATAATCAGGCCTAGCATAAAGGACACAGCCAGCATAAAGATGTACCAATAACCAAATTGTATTTGATACAAGAGGATCAATACATGGGTAAGTGCTGGGGGTACAAACAAATTAAATCAGATTATACATTAATTGACATCAATCCCACTGACCCCAACAATGACACCACACAACCAACAATGGGTGGAATAAATGGTGAAATGCAGTCTCTCATAGAAGGGACAGGAGACAACTGAGTCAACAAACCAAACACATAAGACCAAGGAAGCCACATACTGAACCTCTACACAGCCCGTGTTTACAAAAGCCAGACCTGACTGGAGCCCAGTCCCAGGGAGGCAGGAGGTCCTTCCCCAACAGGGAACTCTGCACAGGGCATCCACCTCACAGACAGACACTGCCCCTGCCTGCAAGGGGTCCCAGCTTTTATCCCTAAGTGGGACACCTGGCCTTTGTTTACTTAATGCGGGACACCTGGGGCTCATTTACCCAATGGCTCTCCCTGCAAGGCTGGCACCACCCTGGAGGGAAGCCTAAAGGCAAACTCATCTCCTCTTTGTGAAGGGCTGGGGGAATCACCCATATGTCAACCTTAATTTGGGGCTTGGGGTTGAAATCCCAGCATTTCAAGGACATACATAGAAGTGGGGAGAAACTCTGGGGAGGGCAGGGTCCATAAGGCTAAGGAATATTGCTAATCCTGTGAGAAATGGAGTTTTAGCTTGGAGAGCTGACATGAGGCAGAGAGATGTACTCAGACCTTCAAGTGGAGGTGGACACCACACCACAGTCACCTGGGCATTCACAAACCTGGATTTGGTGCTTCAGCTCACTCAGCCTGTTCATTGAGAAAAACCATCCAGGTTTTCCTCTAGTACATGCTTGCTTAAAGGAAACCATTGTCCACAGGCTATAATGCTACATTCTGGTTCATTTGTACCAGTTTGAAGACAGGTGGATAGCCATGAATGACATACCCGCTCTAGGCACAGCTGGTAATAAAATTTTTAAAATCACCATGTAAGAGGAGTCTGCCTTGCATCTTTTTCAAAGGTACTCTCTATTGGCAGAACAGTAATGTCTTGTTCAAGTGGCTGTAAAGTATCATGGGTTTTAGTACTACCAAATAGTATACCTTTATAGCAATTTAGGAATATCTATAGGATTATTATATATTGATTGGACTTGCATAAAACCTCAAAACGTCTCAGTAAATGTGACTGTTGTTCTTATTTTGCTTTACAGTACTCTTTACTGTAGTTTTAACATGACCAAGGATAAATTATTTTTTACTGGATGTGGTATGGATGTCACAAAAAGGAGGGTGCTTCTGGTTTCCATGAAGGAAAGGGATCTTCAGTGGCAGAATATTTTTGAAATCTTTGTTTCCTGGCAGTGGGAAGTTTACATGCATTTCTCCACTTTCCCCTGTCTCTCTCTCCAGCTGTTCATCATCTCCCTTTCCAGCACAAAAGGAACAGTTCCCTTTTCCCTTGTTATTTCTCTTCCTCCATTTCCACTGCAATTCTCTATTCACCTTTCTTTGCATTTTAGGCTGCTGTGGTAAGGAATATGCAGTAAGAGGCCACCATCATTGTGGGACAAGTGAGTCGGGGAAAAGCCCCAAGCTGAACTTGCTCCCCCCACTGTTGTTACAGAAGCAAGAATGCTGCTACAGAATAGGGTCCTTTTTTTTATTTTTCCAGAAAATCCTCATTCTCTACTTACACATTTCCTTCCGTCCCTGATTTTTCTGCCCTAGCAGTTGCAGGCAAAATAATTAATGTTTGTTGTGGATAGAGAGTAGATAGACTTGGGATGCAGGAAGTCTTTGGGAAGATCTCAAAGGTTTTACCAGGAAGGTTGCTTTCTTCAATCACCACTTACTGCTGAGGGCTAGCAGCCTGTAAATAGTACAAATATTGCAAGTCACAGTTGATAAGACTCCAAAAAGTTTTCATGCTCACTTTCATCTTATTCCAGGAATGTGTCTGGGATTGTATATAGAAGCTTATTCAGCTTAGTTTTCCAAAACTGAGAAGCAAAACCAAATTAAGTTAGTCTGACAGGTAAATCATTGAGGAGAGGTGAAAACTCTGTCCTAATCATCAACTCTAGGAACAAAAGCAGAAACTTTCCCAGAGCTTCAGTATTTTGCCTGGGTTAGAATTGCTCACATTTTAGGTGTTTAGCATATCTTGATTTAGCATATAAAAGTTTTTGTTTTTGTAATGCTTGTTCTCTTAGCACATTTTCATAGGGAAAGTTAAATAACTGGATTTGGAAAAAAAAAAAACTTTGGAGACATTTGTTAATTTTACAGGCTTATGTTTAGAAGTTGCTGAACTGTTTAATTTCAAAATTAATATGTTAAGCTCATGTGGTGGTTTGACCTTGGCTAAATGCCAGGTACCCACCGTGTTGCTCTATCACTTCCTCCCCCTTCCCCTTTTTTTCTCGACAGGGCAAAGAGGGGAAAGAAAATGAGATAGGAAAAAAACCCCAACCCTTGTGGGTAAAACAAAAGCAGTTTTAATATAAGCAAAGCAAAGTAAAGGTCTGTGCATGGAGGCAAAAAAAAAAAACCTAACCAGATTTATTCTCTACTTCCCATGAACAGGCGATGTTGAGCCTTCTCAGGAGCAGGGCTCCGATACCTGTAGCGGTTGCCTCGGAGGACCAAGGGTGCCCCCACCCCCTTCCTCCTTTCTCCCAGCTTTATACTGAGCAGATGTCATATAGTTGGAATATCCCTTTGGTCAGTTCGGGTCAGCTGTCCTGGCTGTGTCCCCTCCCAAGATCTCACCCACCCTGTCCCACTGAGGGGGGAAAATGTCAGAAAGAGCCTTGGTGCTGTGTGAGCACTGCTTAGCAGTAGCCACAACCCCAGTGTGCTATCAACACCCTGCCAGCTCCCGACATAACACACAGCTCCATGAGGGCTGCTGTAGGGGAAAACCAATTCCGGCTCAGCCAGACCCAGTACAGTCTCCACCCCTTATTCCATTCCATTTACATTATGCCCAGGTCCCACATAACACTCATTTATCCATTCCATAACCTTTCTTCACTCCTCCAGATGTTCAGTGACTTGGCTCCCATCTGTCAAGATGGATGTTCAGGACAGGAGCAGTATGTTTGACTGTTGAACTCCAGCACCAGCTAGGTTTGAGTCATCATTGCACGTATCTGGTTCACTCTTCATTGTTTCTACTTCCTCCATCGCTTCCTGCAATATACAACTCACCCCACAGATTACTTTGCCACAAAGGTTAAATGTCCTCGAGGCACACACTGAGTAGCCCCATCCTCCTGCATTACCCACCAAGTACATCCAGGTCCCTGAGCAAAAACAATCCCATGAGTGGGCTTGCCTTTTCCCAAGGGAGGAGCAATCCACATGCCTTCCTCAGCCATATCCCTGTGTGTACTATAGGGACCTTATCTCCTCCCACAGTATGAAGGGGGTTTGTTTCGGCAGGACCAGGACAGTTAACAGATCCTCTAGTGTTAATTAGCCAAGTGGCTTCTGCTAAATTTATATCCCAGTGCTTCCATCCCCCATTGTCCAATGCTCTCAACATAGTCTTCAACAGTCCATTGTATCTTTCAGTCTTTCCAGATGCTTATGGGTAATAAGGGATGTGATACACCCACTCAATGCCATGTTTCTTTGCCCAGGAGTTTATAAGATTATTTCGAAAATGGGTCCTGTTGTCTGATTCGATTCTTTCAGGAGTACCATGTCACCATAAAATTTGCCTTTCAAGACCTAAGATGGTATTTTGGGCAGTGGCATGATTTACAGGGTACGTTTTGAGTCAACCAGTAGTTGCTTCCACTATGGTGAGTAAGTAGTGGTTGCCTTGGTGTGTTCGTGGCAGTGGTCCAATATAGTCAATCTGCCAGGCCTCACCATATTGAAAACTCAGCCATCACCCTCTGTTCCAGGGAGACTCTACTCATGTGTCTCGCTTGACTGCAGCACGTTTCACATTCATGAGATGGCCTCCACGGTCAGGTCCACCCCTTGATCACAAACCCATCTGTACATTGCATCTCTGCCAAGATGCCCTGATGTTTCATGGGCCCATTGAGCTACAAACAGCTCACCCTTGTGCTCCCAATCCAGGTCCAGCTGAGCTACTTCATTTTTGGCAGCTTTGTCTGCTTGCTCATTGTTTTGATGTTCTTCGGTGGTATGCCTTTTGGGCACATGAGAATCTACATGACGCACCTTTAGAGCCACGTTTTCCACTCAATCAGTAATATTCTGCCACAATGCAGCAGCCCAGATGGGTTTACCTCTGCACTGCCAACTGGTCTTCTTCCACTCCTGTAGCCACCCTCACAGGGCATTAGCCACCATCCAGGAGTCAGTGTAGAGATATAGTACTGGCCATTTTTCTCGTTCAGCAATCTTTAAGGCTAGTTGGATCACTTTTACTTCTGCAAATTGACTTGACTTGCCCTCTCCTTCAGTGGCTTCAATGACTTGTCTTGTGGGACTCCACACAGCAGCTTTCCACTTCCGATGGCTTCCTACCAAATGACAGGTTCCATCAGTAAAGAGAGCATAACGCCTCTCATCTTCTGGTAACTCGTTATATGGCGGTGCCTCTTGGGCACAAGCCACCTCCTCAGGCAATGCTCCAAAATCTCTACCTTCTAACCAGTCCATGATCTCTTCCAGGATCCCTGGATGTTGGGTTTTCCCAGTCAAGCTCGTCGTGTGATTAACACTACCCATTTACTCCAGGTAGCACTGGTTGCATGCTGTGTGGAAGGAATGTTTCCTCTGAACATCCAATGTAATACAGGCAACCGTGGTGCCAAGAGGAGCTGTGCTTCTGTACCAACAACTTCTGAAGCAGCTCGAATCCCCTCATATGCTGCCAGTATCTCCTTTTCAGTTGGAGTGTAGTGGGCTTCTGATCCTCGATATCCCCGGCTCCAAAATCCTAATGGTCGACCTCGAGTTTCACCTGGTATCTTCTGCCAGAGGCTCCATGTGAGGCCACGCTCTCCAGTTGATGTG